CCTTTAACTGATCTTACGTGGCTGCTAATATTATTGAATATAGTACTTATGGGTCTTATTTAGAAAGATATCATGACATAGAATCTCATACATATTTAAATTCGTGCAACTTTATTTTTTCAAAAATGTAATCTAATTTAATTACTGTTATTAGAGGACAAAAAAGTACATTAATTTAATCTTAACATTTCCAAGAAAAAATTTCTTTTATTGTTATTTCTGAGAAAGGTACAGGTATGCATGAATATATATAAATATATAAATTACTTAATTTATCAATCCAACATGTCTATAGATTTCTTTTTTATTTTTTTCTGCAATTTCGAAAGCTCTGTCAGCTCCATCTTTCAATACCTGTTGGATGTAACTTTCATCAAGTTTTAAATGTTCAATCTCTTTTTGAATTGGAACTAATCTTTCGATCAATGTGTCGGCTAAAGCATCTTTAAATGTTTTGGTGTCACTTGTTCTAAATTCTTCAACAATTTGTTCTACACTTGATCCTTTTATTGCAGCAAAAATACTTACAAGATTGGATATGCCAGGTCTAGTTGTTGGTTCGAATGTTATTCCTTGTGTGGTATCTGTAACAGATTTTCTAATCTTTGAGGAAATTGTTGTAGCTGAATCATTTAAATTGATCCGTGATTGATCTAATAAATCTGATTTGGACATTTTTTTTGTAGGATCACGAAGTGACATTATTTTTTTGGCTGATGCTTAAATTGGAGAATTTTTGTTTTCAATATAATTTGAATAATTTTATTGTCTTCTAATAAAACACATATATGTATGCATGCATGTATATATATGAATGTATGTATGGTATATAAATAATTTGTTGTTGAATTGTTCAAAATAAATAATAATAATATATAACAAATTATCTGATCAATGAGCTGCAGCTTTCAGTTGTGTAGCCTTTCCTGGTTTACCATATAGATAAGTTGAAATCATAACGATAATTGCGCCAATTGTAAATTGTGCATCTGGATGAAAATCAAAGAAATAAAAACTAAAGATTCCAGATATTATAATAGATAATGAGGTTGCAAAGCCTTTAAGTATATTATCGGCGTATTTTACAACTATGGCTACAAGAAGACCACCTAATGCTTGATTTGCCACTACCATATATGTTAAGGAATTATAGCCTTGTAAGAAACCACCTTCCCTGATTTCCCCAAAATCATAAAATATCATTCCAACAAGAGAGAATAAAGCACCAGTGATTGCAAGCTGGATATTTCTAATCCACATACTAGTTTCAGAAGTTTTTAAAATTTTTTCAAAGTAGCAACCGGCAAATCCTGATGATACACATGAAGTAATAACAGCAATTAAACCGATTATTGGATTTTGAGCAGCCAAAAGTATTTGAGCAGGTGAAGGAGGCGTTGAATCTTTTTCAATATCAGTATTATTCATTGATGGTTGATCAATTTCGGTTAAGCTGGTGTGAGCACCAGCAACAACTTTTGGAGAAACTTTGACCGTACTAACTGTTTGTAATTGTACCAGAGTAACACCAATCATCAAAAGTACAAGAGCAAACCATTTACCTCTACTCAATGATCTGTGTAGAAGCACAACAGAAAATATTGCAGTGGAAAGAATTTTCATTTGATAAGTTACTTGAAAAGTTGCGGCCTCAAGATTAGATAATGCTATGTATAATAAGTTGTTCTGTAATGCATAAAGTGCTGAAGGTATAAACATTTTTATAGTTTCATGAGGTTGTCCTAGAATTTCTTTTCTTACCACATAAAGAAACCTACTAAAAGATTTCTTTTGATATAAAATTACTGCAAGGCATGCTATAATTTTTACAACCTCAGCAAGATATACAGCAGTCGACACTATATACATGTTTTCCCCAGGGTTTTGACGAATTCGTGAACATCGCATCATCAATACCAATGAAGCATTTTGAATAACAAGTATAAGTAGTGATAATTGTTTCCGCGTGAGGCCAAGTATTCTAGGCTCTGAATAAATTAGAGTATCAAACAGTAGTATTAATAATATTATTAATAATAATCGAAATAAATAACATCTAAATTTTAAATGTAATTTTATATTATATATATATATATGTATATTTGAGAAAATTTAACATTAAAGTGTGCAAGTTTCTTTCAATCTCTTTCAACAAGATTTCAACAATAACAATTTAAACATCGCAATCTACATATTTAAACATATGTAACAATTTATTTTTTAATTACCTCGTGGTATGATCTTGGAAGTATGATTCAAAGGTAGAGTTTCTTTTTCATTTAATTGTAAAGATCTACGCATATTTTTTTTTTTTTAATGAAAGATTACTAATTAAAAAAGTTAAAAATAGTTTTCAGTAAAGATGATGCTTTTGCTACATGTGCGTTCCCATATTTATACAATTTTTAATTAGATTGTTTATCGTTTTCTTTTTTATTATAACTTGTGTAATTGGTATTTAATATGTTGCATGCATAATGCATAATGCATATATGCATTTGTTGACTAGAAGAGAATCGATTACCGATCATCAAAACATTACAACCAACTTTTGAACTTAATTGGCTGTTGAGAAGCTTACCTACCGCTTGAGAATCCCTACTTTTCATAGAGGCAGACAGTTTAAAAATATAGTTCATGGCTTGTTGGTAGATTAAAATTATATTTATTGGATTAACACGACTATGCTAGATTTAATAATATTAAAAGAAAAAACTTTTCACTGTTAATGTTTTCAAGAATATAAAAGCTGTAAATGGTTATTAATCATCATTGTAGATAGATTTGTGACAGGCATTTGTAAGAATGTTCAATTAAAGCACAAAAACAGATTTATCAGGGGATTTCAAAAAAGACAATTTTAATTCATTCAAAATTTAAAGCCATTAATATATATGGATAATAATTATTACTCATCAACTATACTTATCAGAATTACCAGAAAACATAAACATTTTGATATTATGGTAATCCAAATGATATTGAATATTTAAAAGAACTGATCGTCGAGCTTTTTGATATTCTACAGAGATGAAGCTAGCATATTTACATCGTGTTTAACGAACTTCAATAAACTATTGGCTGTTTAATCAAAAACCTAAAGCCTATAACTTTTACAATGAATGTATGTACACAAATAATATATTTTATTAGTAAAACATCTCAAGGTTTAGGATAAAATCAAAAGTAGAACACAAATAAAAAAGTTATTTTTTTATTGGACTTAATTGGAAAATGTGACCCAATAAGATAATCATTTATTATTACCAAACTTGAAATTTAGAAGAATTGTGTTTGTTAGCGAAAAGTATCTTCTCTTTTTATTTTTATGTAACCACAAGTCTTATCTTTATAACATAGCATAGTATCTTAACGGTTAAGCTACTCTCCAAAGTAATAAAATATACATTCTAACGGCAACAGTAACATTCACCATATGTGTTTTAAATGCTCGTTCTTTCTTTGCTAATAATACCGAATGGGATAAGGCAAAAGGTAATTGATTATGGTCAGCCAACAAAGACAAACTTGAGAAATGAACCTTAAAGGTTTAAGTCAAAAAAATCCTTGACTATAAAATTGCAATTAATCATAGCAATCGTAAATTTGTTTTTAGAAAATAATTAATTATAATAATTGGCTATATTCGCTCGTCTTCTTTTTATCACAGATGATGAAATTATTTTGAATGTAAAAGGCGATTTCATAATACAGTTAAAAAATGTTCATCGCCACTTGCTAATGTAAATTTGAGATTTGAATTATTATGAGTTGTTACAAGTGTCAAAAAGATAAAACATCTCGTTTTAACAAATAATAAATGATACTTATGTTAATATATAACAGATGTTGATCAATCGGCGTAGAGTATTGCAAATTTATAAACTCATGTTGATGGCCATCCATCGTATCTGTGTTGCTTCATGTGAACCGCATTTATCTACATTTAATGGATTTAGAATATATACAGCTTTGATAGGCTTGCTTATATAGTTGAAGATGAAGCGTTTTCTACAAACTCTTCCATTGATTAATTAACAGGAAATACGTATATCCTTTGAATGTTGTTATTGGAAGAAATCGAATTTTTTTGTTAGTGATTATGAATCAACTTTTCATAGCACCCAACCTAATTGGCTAATTAAGAATATTTTCACTATGTAAAAAATGTTATATTTTCGATAAGCTTGCTCGTGCCTACAAGTTTTGATGAATGAAAGAAAATTAGTACTAGTGGTGCTAGCAAAGTTGTAAAAATCGTACCTCCTATTTTTCTTTTATATGAATAAAAAAATACTTGTGACACGGAGAAATTTCAAGTTTTAATAGTACTAGACCGGTCTAAATATTTTGACACTAGTAATGAAAAAAAAGGTTTTATTTTATCGGAATTATTTTACTTATTTTAGACAATTCATAAAATTTAGGAATCTAGATGTTGCACGAACGCCCCCACAAAAAAATTTTTTTGCGTAATTTTATTCCCCTTTTTTGTGAATATTGTGCTACAAGGAGAATTCTTATTATTTGTAGACTTGCTATTGGACGTTGTACATACATATACGCACATGTTAATTAAAGTTAAGGTTTGAGTTTATTTAATTTCGGTTAATTTAATTATATTAATCACCCAATAATAAATACAATCTTCCATTGATTTGTTGTTATTAATTATATTAAGGAAGGATTTTGTCAAACAATGCATAATAAAATAAAGTTGTTATCATGTTTGACAAAAAAAATTTTTTTTTCCCATATTTTATTATTTTATCAATCTTTTTTTTTTTATTAAATTTTTCAGATAATTACGATAATTTATGGGCTAGTACATGAAAGTTGTGGGCTCAAAACCCATATAATACCCATATAATTCAAGGGAGCTACCAGTTGATTGGTTTGTTGATACTATATGATTAATTAATCAATCAAATCAAATCACTTTTTTTGACAGAAAAAAGATTTTTTTAAAAAAAAGGGTTGAAATTGTTTATAACACAAAAAAATAAATTGATTGGTCACATGAACAATTGGTTTTATTATAAATAAACACTATTTTCGCTTTCAAGAAATTTTAATCCTTAAACAAATCTTTTTTTTGCAAACAAAATTTTATTTACAAACCTTTTTTTTAAAAAAATCTTTTTTCTGTCAAAAAAAGTGATTTGATT